GCCTCGACGGCTGAACCCAGGACAGCTTCCCATTCTTTCCTCAAGGCAGATGGGCTGTAAACAGAACCCATGCAGGAGAGCTGTTAGTTGGCTGATGAGACAGGGTAGCCACAGCAATGTGGCCAGGAACCAGCAGGAGCTCAGACCTGCATGTACTTTCCAATCCAATTACTTATCCGAGAACACCAGCTTTCCTCAACACAGTGTGAGATGGGCCAAATGAGGATTGCAAATCCAAGCTCTTAGATCTAAACATCTCCCTACGGTGCTTTGTCTCTGGATCCAAAGTAAACAGGGTCTTGAGAGTTCAGGGTAGTCCAGAGGGTAGTTCATGAAACCGGTTGATATTGAGAATGTTCTACTAAGTAGAGGTGGGAAGTGGTGGGAAGTGCTGGCCAGATTTCAGAGTCCTCTGATCCCAATGAAAGCCTTCCCCACAAACGGCAGTGCAAATCTACAAAGCCCTTTAAAGACCTCAGACTGATGGGACTCTATGAAAACCGAAATACAGGCCACAGAGTGAAAGAACTGAGTTTAAAGCCAAATCTCTTTCTCTGTGAGGAATTTAGCATAGAAAAGGCTTTGAATGAAATACTTTGGCAGAAGAAGTTATTTCTTATGGGGAAGTTTCAAATAGATGTAAATTACCACGACTCCATCCTCAGATAAACATTTCAGAATGGCCAAAGGGCTTTGTTTTGTTAGAAATGCAGTTCCTAGGTTGACATTTGTAAACTCCAGTTGCAGCTACTCACAGAATAAGTACAGGTAAGTTGTATTGCTTTGACTGGAAACTATCTGCGTAAAAGCAGTGACCCATCAATTAAATTCCATGGAAAAGAATACAAGGAATACTGAATACTGCGTCGCTCCCTTAGTGATGACAGGTAGTAGTGATGATAGGTATTAGTGGCACAGAATTTGGCCAGACACGAGAAATAGAGTCCAGAGCAAGCATACAAAACCATGTGCAAAACATCTCCATGGGTACATCTCCAGCTTTCTCCTGCCACCAGAGTGAAGAGCTAAGCCTGTAATGAGAGGGAATGAGCCAGTGGAATCCAGCATCTGGCTGGTTTACAGCAAAGTGGTTTGTAGGAAGCACATACACAGGAATAACTCCTTTTCCTGATGGTTCACTGCACTCTTTGTAGAGAAACAAAGCAGATATTGGTAAACTCAAGTGCTGCTTTCGTATCTCCTGCAAACATTCACCAAAAACTCACTGGAATGTCAAATCACTTTCAGCCACTGGGCTTTTTTGCCAAAGCATGGTTTGTTTCCCATCATACATAGGAGCTCACTCCACCACCAAAGCCCACCAGGCATCCTGGAGTACACTAAAGCTGTGGCAACACTTACCAGCATGGTATGGAAGCACAAGGAACATCGCTGGCCAGACAGCACAGGAGGTAATTACAGATACTGGGATGTGACCAAAAGCACTGCAAGGTGAAATATTTCTCTTTAAAAAGCACTGTGGGATCTTTAATGCCCACAAGTGGTCAGAAGCTGGGTTTCTATCCCACTTGTCTAGTTTAGCTGTTTGATACGATCACACACCTCACAGCCTTTAATGCAATAATATAATCACATAATGCTGCTTTAAGCAAGCAAAGTATTTCCCATCCTTTGCAGAAGAGAAGATGAGGTACAGAGGCACAACAGAAGTTTATGGTGGAGCAAAGAACTGAACCCACTCATCCCCAGGCCACTCTTCACCATCTCCAAGATGCCACCAGCACCCAACAAGCCTTTAATCCAAGGGCGCTGCTTTCTGTACATAACATACAGACAAGGGGACTATTTCTTTTCCCTAGCTCTGCATTTTCATCCTATTTATGGCTTCATTCTGGCTGTGCTGTGGACAAGGCAGCAGAATTGGAGGGCATATTTCTCCAGCACTTTATTCAGTGCCTTCCTGTTGGTCTGCACATGTAGCTGTGTGAATGAGCGAGGGTTGCAAAATGTATTTTGCCTGGGGCAGTGAAATAGCTGAGGCCAACCTTGTCATTCTGTTTTACTCGCTCTTTTCCTACCCTATCTCTATCTTGGTTTTCCCTTTTCTTTCTCTCTTTGTTGTCTTGGTTACATGGGCAGATTCCTGATATGTTGCTAGTTTTCATTTTAATTATATGTCCCCATAAAGCACAATATTTCACTTCACTTGTGTGTGCCACTGGATAAATTCCTTTGACATATGTGACATTTGTATATCAACTAACAGATATTGCTTTATGACTGTGGGTATTCTGCAGAGTGTTCACGCATTGCACACATCAAAATCTGATATACAGTCTGCCACTTCCATATAAAAATACACACAGAGAGAAAGAGGCTGAAACTGCAGGGAAAAGAAGGGAAGTGCCTCCAAAACCACTTTGTAATTACTTGCACTGAGTCTTCCAGCAACTGAGTAGATCCTGCTATCTCCGAGATAATCTCATAACTCCTCTCTTCATGCTGTCTGAAATACTTCACTGTAGCTTGACCGAGTAGCTGTGCTGCACCAGTATGTACCATGCATGGTAGGACTCAGCAAGCAGAGTAAAATATATCTCCTGGGCTTTGTCCATCAGTACATGGAATCTCATTTCATCCTACAAAGCTTATTCCAATTTCCCCATAGGCATTTGCTTTAAAAAACCCAAACACACATAAAGCAAACTTCATGCTAACATAATGGATTATGTTGGAGTTGCAATAACGATGTAGTATTTCCATTGTTTCCTACTCAAAAGCACCTGATTGATGAGCCAAGATGGAAAACAAAGCTTCAAAAGGCCCATGAAGTTTTGGCAGGGATCAAGGAGTGTCAAGTGAAAATCCCCAGGTACAAATTGGTCTCATGTGGCACCCAGAGGGGAAAAGAGGCTGGTGTCCTGAGCTCAGATACCTTCAGGAGCCCTGGGAGAGAGCAGTATGTGGAGGGGAGTCAATGACTGCAGAAGTCACAGCAAGGATGGGGCTGAACTTGAAAGAACTTAATGTTTCGCAGAGCCTGGATCAACTGGTCCAAAACAACCACGTGTGTGCAGGGGAGCACCATTTCCCTGTGCATTCTGCCTCTCTGGTGGAGACTCATTCAGCTGAGGAAGATCTCAGCCCAAGACTCCAGCTCTGTTCCAACACACAGACCCAACACAGTAACTACCACAGGCAGAATATTAGGAAAAAGAGGGAATAAAATGAGGCTTTCTCAAATTACATCAGCCTGTTCAGCTCCCCTCTTCCCATTCTTTACCCTATAAGGCTGTCCCCTCTCTCTCCCACACTCCGTGAAGCACTAAAAGCTTTCCCTTCTATTTTCCCCCTGTTAAAAGGAATCAGATCTTGGATTCTGCAACGTGACCTGCAAAGGCAGAGCTGCGTCTGAGTCTGCTTCTCCTGAAGCCAAAAGAAAACCCAAAAGCTTAGGAGTGCAGGGAAGCAGCAGTCGTTCTTAACTGTTTAGGTCTTCTGGTTATTTACCATTGAAGTCTCAGCTACCCCATTCTTCCCCCCCAAGAGACTGACTGGAGAACTAAACAGTTTATTATGATATCACAGATGACAGGGGAACAAAACCTAATTAGTCAGGGGAGGAGATTATTTTTATTACAACTGTTTCAAAAAAAAAAAAATCAATTTGGCTCCTTTTCCATGTGCCTGAATAGACTGTTAAAAAGAATGATAATACTCTCTTTTCAAAAGCATCAGCAGTCTTTGTTCTGTTGAGCAACGCCAGAGACAGAGAACAGCGAGGAGGATCCTGTTCCCCTTGCATGGGGGCATCTGAATATACAACCCTGATTTTCTTTTTAAGTGAAGAAATAGGTAGAGGAACAAAACTAGAGGCTTCAAACCTTCCTTAAGCATCCATGAACAAACAACTCCTCCATGTCTGCTTTGCCCATCCTATACGCAAACCGTTCACCTTTTCATAGCACCTTCCCCTCCCCAACCTGGAAGTTTTGATTTGCAGAAAGGATTCAAAGAGGAATCAACACCCAACCCCAAAGGCTCTGCCCAACCTCCAATCACAGCTTCTCACCCATCTCTATTATTGCAAAGCCACAATCTCTGTGCACATATAACACCCCTGGGCTGAGCATTCAGACAAACACTGTCAGACTGGCACACGTGTTGAAGTGGAGGCAGTGCCCACCATTACCACAAGCAGGTCACTTTTAATACATCTTCTTGCCATGAGAAAACCACAGGTAGATAATTCCCAGCTCCCACCTCTCAAGCCTCTCCACTATTGCCTTACATGGCAAACTACAGAGCCACAGCCATGCAACAGGCATATTTTTAGTGAGAATACACAGCGAGGAGCATAAATACACTCTTTAACGCATTTGGGTTTATGTGGCATTGACCATAAACGTAACGCTCATTATCATTCAAGACACAGTTTTCTTTTGGTGAAAACCCTCTTTCTTTGGCACAAGCATCCAGCCTGACCTAAACAGAGCAACAACTAATCCCATGCTGGCCTCATGGCAAAATCACAACGTAGTCACACTGCTCTGAAGAAAGGTCTCCAGAGTATGAGCCTGCTTCTGAGCAAACCTCAACCATGGTTTTTCTCCAGCATGCACAGACAACCTGTGATCAAGTACTTTACATTAGAGATGGTCTGACCACACAAAAGAATTGTTGGCTGTAAACTGCATCAAGTCTGGCTGGGGCTGGGGCTGTGGTTTGACTTCAGAAACATTCAACTGCTGATGAGCAACAACTTGGAAGGAGGATTTACTCCTTTCTCACATCAACTCTATGCCTCAAGGGCAAAACACAGATTTTTGCCAACAGAAACATTTTCTACCCTCAAAACAGGTGATGCACCTTAGGACTGCGTTCACACCCAATGCAACACTCCAAGTCTCCATAAGAACGTGAAAATCTCAATTGGAGAACCACATTAGGTCTTACCTTCTTGAGCTTCCCACTCTTGGTGCCCACAAACGCCAGGGAGTGGTTCTTGTAGACGTAAGCAATCACAGATGTCATTCTGTCTCCATCCTCAGTGAAAATAGGGAGCCCTCGCACCATGGATGATACTCCCAAGGGGGCATTCATATCCAGGCCACAGAAATTGTCATCAATTGTTAACAGCTATAAAAGAGAAAGAAAGAGAACGTCATAAAATGAAGCCAACAATTCTTTAACCATTTGGGAAGCATCCATCCAAGCAGGGACCTCATTGCATAACATGCCTATAATTTAGGCAGGCTGACAATCAATGACAAAGGCAGGACTGGAGAAATAGAGAGGTGGAAAAGATTTGTCCAAACTTGCATGATGAGTTACAGACAGAGAGAGAACTGGAAACTTGCTTCTCTTGAATGACAGCCCAGCAGGGTACATTATGTTAAACCTTTTTCTTACTGCTTTACCAGTCAGTTTTACCAGTCAAGACCTAGCAATCAAAGACAAACTCTGCTGAAAAACATCTTAAACGTCTCTAGTTCTGTCAAAAGAAGTATGCACATCATTCCCATGGGATCCACAGTAAAAACCACAGACTTAAATCTACACTGGCAAGCAAAATAGATGCTGACCTGCTCTCTGGCCCTGAGACCAAACAGTAAGGCTCATATCTATGAAACCTAAATAACTACACCCCTTTCACCTCCAAACTCTGTAGCATCACTCAGTGTTACACCTTGGATATTATAGCCCCCCAAGTCATGGCCAGGCTTTGTCTATGGCAGAGCTGCTCAGCCCAGGCCAAATCTGCAATAGGGACCATGCTAAGGATTGTGCTATCACACTATAGATGGTGACTGCACACACTCCCCATCACCCGGCTTCTTCTCTCATACTGTTTGGCCTGGGCATTACATCCTCCTGGGTATGCATTCCCTCCCCTCCCCCCCCGCCATGAGATAGAGATTATCCACATTTATCCATCTTATTGGCATACTACAATTCACTGAAGTTCTTTGGAGAGGAGGGAAGGTTTCACAGCTATTATGGGAGCTTTTGGGCATTTATTGGAATACCCATGAGCTCCTCACAACCAGAGAAACATCCCTGTTCAATAACACTGCTGCCCAAGTTTCAACACCTATTGCATTTGAACTCAACAGGCTTGCTACCAGACAGATGCTCCACTGGGATCCTTGTGTATGAATGCACATAGTGCCTAGTCATCTCCAAGGGTGCTTCTTTGGGCTTCAGAGAGTTACAGAAGTGCAGCAGCACAACAGTACAGACAACTCTTCTACCTTAAGACACCATCTGGGCAGTAGGCAAGGCTGATTCAGGTTGTCAATATGATCTCCACAGAATAAGTCAAATAAAGCTCCAAATATCATAGTACGTGATCGCTAAAGAAGTTAGTCTTTATTAACTTCACTGGGGCCACTCACAGATTTGAAGTTAAGCATCCACTTATAATGTTTTGCTGGTCTATGGCCTAGAAAGGCAATAATCAGTTGTACAGGAAGGTTGCCTAGTTTTCACACATCGGTGATAAAGGACCATGACAGTTTTCTTTGTCTGAGCTCCCATCTTCCTGAAAGCATGGCTGGAATATTCACTGCTCCTTACTTGAGTTCACAAGCAGTAAAAGCCTGAGAGCTGATTCATTTTATCCTCACCCAGCAATTACAGGGAATAATTACAGATGGTTTTACTGAATGGAAGAATAATGTGTCCTAAATGTATTTATAAACACATAAAACCTAGGAGGAATTCAAACAGCCATTAGTAAGGAACAGCTAGCCTGAGCTCTGGCCTGCAAGAGTCATTAGTGTTTGAGGACTGCTCTTTCACAGCTAAAACACCAGCTCAAAGAGCAATTACACATGGGATCAACAGCCTCCATGAGCAGCAGACAGGATGTCGCTAGTCCTCAATGCCAGCACAAAGACAAATCTGCATCCCACACCCAAAGGCCAAATTCACCTGAGGTCTCGCACCCCCAAGTTGATGGCCACACTTTAGAGAGGTAGGACACCCCCGCCGACAGCATGGCTTGAAAAGCTCAGTGTTTCTGATGATGAGAACACACACAGCTTCCATTACATAGGTCGGGATGGAATAACTGAAGCTTGATTACTCAGGAGGTACAGATGTGTTTGAAGCAATACATCACCTGGAGTGGGATCCGTCTCATCTAGATTTAGCCATGTGAAATCTAAGTAGACTACAGTGATCATCTTACTACCTCCATAATCAACAGAGGAAAGGAGGTATGTCAGAGAACAAGGCATCCAACCAAACTTGTAGTGCACTGGATCACCTGCTAATAGAGCCAACTGATTGCAGAAGGACACCAGTAGATTCACTCAGCCTAAGTATCTAACATTAAGATGTATCGTGTTTTGAACAGAGACATGGTCTTAACAATATGCTGGGGTGTCTTCCAACCTGAGCCACCCTATGGATGTAGGATCCTATGTACACAGCCTTCAGAAAACTGGACTAGTTGAAGGTGTCCCTGCCCACAGCAGGGGATTGGAACTGGATGATCTTAAGGTCCTTTCCAACCCAAACCATTCTATGATTCTATGATCTGAGAATAATTCAGATGTTGAGGCCAGGCCCAGTTTGACCAGAAACTTTTAAGCTCTCAAATTAACATGACCTGTCTTTTAAGGCAATGATAAAACTGTGTATGTCTCAAACTGGTGGCCTGACAGGCTGAGAAGAAATCATTTTAAACCAAAAGCAAGAAATACCCAAACCTTATACAAATGACAGAAAGAGGGACAAGGGAAGAAGGGAAGAAAGTCCTGTTTTGTCATGATTTTAAAGGAAAAGAAAAGAAATGGAAACAGCTTTCTTCACCACCAAGAAAATGAAGACCTCAATAGTGCCAGCAGACATCTTACCTGGAGGGCAGTGTATGAAGCTCCATCTCAAACAGGAAATTACACTGACAAGCAGTGAAACAATAGCCATCAAGCAGAGCTAGCACAGTCCGAGGCATCCTCCTTGGTGTAGCACAGCCTTCCTCACACTCCCCTCCCTGCAGCACAGCCAAAACTCCAGCTGAAGTAGCTGGAGACCAGCAAGGACACATGGTCTGCCTTCCTGCATGAGCCAGGACCTCAAAGCTCAGGCAAGAGCTGCCCATGCTGTCCTGCAGGGAGATACAAGCTACTCCTGTTTGCTCCCCAAGCAGGTCTAAGCCCTCTGTAACCCACTCTACCAACAGCCAAAATACGTTAGCCAAATTATGCAATCACTATTGGTGTGCATAGCAGAACTCACACAACCAAAAATAATCCACAACCCCCTCCAAAGCACTGAGAAGATATAGACCCAGAGATCCCAGCACTAAGCACAATAACCTGTGACTGATCTGTAGCACACCTTCAACCAATCAAGACTTAATTAATCCCATTGCCACAGGTTAGGTACTCCTCCATTTGACTGGGCTCAGCTCCAGCTGAACTCAGACCTACCCTTAAAGGGGCTGACATCATGGTTTTCCCCCGTAAACTAAATTTAAAGGTAAATTTAACCCCATTTATTTCCTCTTATTTACCTGAGCTTATTTACAGGGCACATCTTTATAAGAAGAGCTTATGAGAAAGATGGGAACACACTTTTTAGTAGAGCCTGTAGTGATAGGACAAGGGGGAATGGCTTTCAACTGGAAAAGGGGAGATTGAGATGAGCTCTGAGGCAGAAGCTCTTCCCTGGGAGGGTGCTGAGGCGCTGGCACAGGGTGCCCAGAGAAGCTGTGGCTGCCCCATCCCTGGCAGTGTTCAAGGCCAGGTTGGACACAGGCACTTGGAGCAACTTAACCTGGTGGAAGATGTCCCTGCTCATTGCAGGGGGGTTGGACTGGATGATTTTTAAGGTCCCTTCCAACCCAAACCTGATCCAAGCACCACTTTCTCTTACAGGACACAGTTCAGATGAGATCTAATACCACCACAGAGCACCCTACCCTCCGAGGCACGCAAAGTGAGAGCAGATAAGGCCATGACATTCACTCACATCCTGCTACATGGGTGCCGGAGAAGCAGTCTCAGAGCTGTGGTTTGCAATGTGCACAACCATCCCCCACGAGGAGGAGAGGGGCCAACAAGCCACACACCACATGAAAACCATTTTCACTTTACATATAACTTTTCCTCTGGGGATCATCTACAAAGAGACACCAGGAAGCAAAGCCCTACAAATACACATCACCGGGCTTCTGTGCAGCTTGTGGCTCTCAGCTGCAGACGTGCCTTCGGAAGGGCAGAAACACAGTCATCATCTTCAGCGAAGAGAAACCCATAAGGAAGTTTGGATTTATGATGAAAGGGTCAGGAGTTGCAAGCACAGGTTTATTTTCAATTCCAGACACTCCTAACAGCAATATAAAGCAGCCACCTTAAACTCTCTGGAGCTTCTCTGCTTGGCAATTTCACGTTAACGACTTTCCAGAATGAAAGCTGAGGTGAGGATGTGAATTCACTCTGCTCGCAGCAGCTGGGATATCAGGGAGGGGGCAAAGGAAGATCTAAGGAGGCAGGAATAGGATCAGCAATTCTCACACCATGAGCAGTCATAATCTAACCCAGAAATTCACTGCACAGTCTGTAGGTAACTCAGAAGGGAAGGGGGGTCTTGCGGATGAGATGCTGGATTGAAGTCAATCAGTCCAACATCCCACTTGCAAGAGAAGAAATATTCCTTGCCACCCCTCTGCCCCAGGAAAGCTGCTAAACACAGATTTATATGGTGCTCTGCATATCCAAAATACCTTCATTTGAGATGGTTAACAGCTCCCTGGGCATAAATACCCTCCTGGGTCCCACCAGCTGCCTCTCCATCTTGGGCTGATGTGGAGGGGGGGAAACCAGCTGGTGAGAGGCTGTGGTCTGTTCCTACCACTGCTCCCAGCATCAGCAACCAGAGGGTTCATCACAGCTGTGACACCGTGGCCAAGTGTATCACTCACCACTGAGATAGGAAGGATGTGCAGAGGAACGGGCCTGATTTATAGGAGGATTCTGGCAGGCATTTGTCTTCTCCAGGATTAAGCCTATCAAATAAATAATTAACACAGCCAAGCCCTCCTGGAGAGGATGGTTTTACAAGGCTGCTGCTGCCTCAGTCCTCTAGGGATGTGCTGAGCCCCCAAAAACCCCCAAACTCAGCAGAAG